GAAGGTAACTGAAACCACAGCAGCCTTGAGTCACTTGAGCTGCATTTGCAAAGCAGCTGGACTGTGCAGAGGAGCTCTGCTGATCCAGGCTCTCCACCACACTTCTGCTTGCAAAGGTCAGGCAGGGATGTGTTTTTGATTCTGTGTGGAAGGGAACTGTAAACGATTTGAAGGTTCAGAGTTCAGGGCTGGTTTGGAAAAACACCCATCGGACTGCAATGCCCGCAGGGGAGCTGTCTGGTTTGGTAGGGTGTCTCTGGGTATTTCTGGCATTTCACTTCCTGACTGTAGTCAGGAAAACTCAAAGAAAGAAAGAATATGGAAAAATACATCCAGACACTTCTGAACATGGAAACCAGTTTCCTAATGTTTAGTCAAAGATAGAAGTCAGCTCTTATTTTGCCCAGCCTCTTTGAATTAGAAAACATTCAGTGCAGTTTCCTTTTAAATATTAGATAAGCTGCACAAATAGCTGCCCAAGAATCAGAACCATGACTAATTCTTGTTCATTAGATGTGCAACATAAATAACTACTTGTTTTACTACTGATTAATTACAGTGAGATGCCTCCAGCTCTGTCACATGCATTGAGATCTGCTTCCACACTGCCTCCTTCGAGTAAATCTGTGTCATCATTCTGCAGACTTTTGCCACCCAGAGGAAATGGGAAAGGCTGGGTGCCAAGGGCATCTGGCTCGGCAGCTCTGGGGATTTAAGAAGGGAAGGGGGCGATTTAAGAAGAGCTCCAGGGGGTGAGATAAAGCCACTAGTTCTGTTACTGGCATAATACCACCTGTACAAGGTACAATTCCCACATGGCTTTCCTAGGCCATCATGTTGCAAATATTTCTGGGGAATTCTGTAATTTGCCTCAGCAGTATACACAAACATTCCTTAATGCATGACTTTCATACTGTCTGCCTGCTTCCAGGATTTTCACTGGGTCACTGCATTGATGCTGATGCATTCCCTGGGGCTACACATGTGTTGCCATGCAGCCAAAGGCAGGAGAAACCTTGCTATTTCAGGTCGAGTTGATTACAGGTTTTTGACTGAAACATGCTTTTTTCTTTTTTTAAAGAAAACACTGAGTCCAAAAACTTAAACTTACCTTTTAAATTGATTGATTTTGAGGGGAAAGTTTCTCAGATGTGTTGGTCTTTCTGTATATAGGAAAAAAGGAGATCTTCCATGACCAGGGCATTTGTGTGTGGGTGCACTGTAGCCAGCAAAGTGCAGTGAGTTGTGAAATAACAGTCACTGAGCCTGAGAGGGAATCAAGCAGGGCAATGGTTTGGACATACTTTGCAGAATAGTTTCTAAGTCTTTGGGCTGTGGTCTCAGTATACTCTGTCAATCCATTTTGTAGAGCTAATTATAAGTTCAGTGGGTCAAGGAGAAAACATCCTAGGCCAGCATTCAGAACAGCTGGGTGAGATAGGATCAGTCACACATCCAAGCCAGACACAGGAATGAGCTGTGCACAGATATCTCCCATGCAATGAGCCAAGGGGTGATGCTACTCTTTGTTCAGCATGACATAGAGGCCTCAACTCTTTTTTTTGATGCAGCCTTTCTTGTTTCTTTCTACCCCAATGCAACACAGATGAATAGACTTAAAAATGACTCTATTTATAATCTCATTTTTCCCTACCTTCATCTTGCCTGCTTTTAAATGCTTGTGTGCATTCCTGTGCATTGAAATGACTAATTTTGTTTAATTTCAAAACTGAAGCTGGTGAGAACCAAGGATGGCCTGAAAGTAATTGTGTTAACAGAAAGTAGTGCTGTGAGGTCAGGGGAAAGTGCAGGACCCGAGTGCTCAAAATACCATCAGCTACGTCATGAAAACAGATGTGCTCTGTAGGTCCTTTCTGTGTGTGGGTAATAGGCTCAAGATCAGGGTCTACTCTGAACAGCTCAGCAAAGGTTTTTGTCCTGTTCTACTTTTTACCTTTCCTTTCAGAAGGGAACCTAGGTGTTGGGTTTTTTTGGTTTTTTTTGTTTGTTTGTTTGTTTGTTTGTTTGTTTTTTCCCTCTCCCCACTTGGTTTTCTGGTCACTGTGGAGGACTCTCTGAAGTTAGTGTACAGAAATTCTGACTGGTTTAAAAAAACCCCTAAACACCAAAGAGCCCAAACTGTCTTAATTTCTTCTATTTAAACCACATGTTGAATTATAGCCATTTAAGTAGGAGGAAAACAAACATATTTCACTGGGTTCCAGGAAAGGTCTGAATGGATGGCATTTTTATCAAGGTTTTATGTGCCCTATCCAGACACCCAAAAAATTGTGCTGTACATCAGATTTAAAGTGAGCTGTTTTATTATGTGTCCAGAACTGATCGCCTCAATGGCAACGTGCACAGCTTGTAGTCCCTGCCTCAGGATCCAAGGCTGAAGCTCTGAGGTGAGTTTTTGGGTGGTGGAGAATGGCTGGTAAGTTTTCAAGATTCAGAAGTATTATCAGCTATTTCTAGTGCGTTTTAAAGCTGCACAGGACAAGCTCTTGAGCTTCAGGTAGCAGCAATACAAAATGCTCCTATATTTTCTCATACACTCAAAATTAATGTGACTTTGCACCCTAGTCTTCCTCTTGGGTTTGGGGCTGTCATTGTCCCCAAAAGGACTACTTGCAGATGTACCTGTCTTTTGTTAATTTGGTCAGGGCTCAAGTTTATACTTAAATTTGATTTTAATTCAAATCTAACCTCACATACTGTAATTTTTACTTTTCCTGATAAAAAAATTACAGATAACGCAACAAAGAAGATAATGTAACAAAGTTAATGTTACAGATAATGTAACAAAGAAGAAGAGGTCTAGTTTTCAGAAAAAAAAAAGTTTCCTGGTGCTAGAGTAGCGAGGGAGTCTGACAGCCTAACTTGTGGTGTTCATTCTTGCTCAGCTACAGTGAAGACAGATTAAGGACAAATTACTCAGTGAACAAATGTCTTGTTTTCTCTGTGACTCCACCTCTTTCGGGCATCCTGCCTATCCCCACCTCTTACACTTGTCTGCATGTCTTAATGGCAGTATTCATGCAGCTGGTAATTTATGTGTTTGAGAGATAAGATTTACACAGAGCCTTCCCTTTGGTTATACAGAAAATTTGAGATTCAAGTATGTATGTGATTTGTCAGGTTCCACACTTCAGCTTAAAAATCATAAACATCTTAGGGGCTGGATTTGAGAGAAATTTTAAAAGGAATCATTTCAACTACATGTTAGTTCTTAGGTCCTCACTTTACACCTAGTTACAAAAGTTTGTCTTCAAAATAAAGGCAATGCCTATTGTAACATAAGCACATAGTCATCTGGCTGTGACTGGGGCAGTTTGGTGTTGTGCTCTGCAAGAACGACAGAGCCGATCCTGTTACTGAAATCTCCTTGATTCTCTTGGTGTCTGGTGTCATAAACATGAATTGTTAATTTCATATTACTCATAACAGGCACACTGTGAATGTTTGCAGAGTTTATAGGGGATCAGTTACAAATGTGATTATACCAGCCATTCCTCAGGACTGACACCAGTTTCAAATTAGAAGCTGACAGGCCTCACCTGCTCCAGAGTTCACTGACAGGTCACCTTCTTGTCATTTTGGCTATCCCCCCCATCAAAATGACACCTGTGTTCATAAAGGGACAGCAAGGGACTCGAAGTTGTTAGAATTGTTGCAGAATAAGAATAAAATGTCATCTACTCCAATAATGTAGTGCTCAACTTTGGCCTTTCAGACAGCTTGATGCTTGCAGCCCCTGACAATGTTTCCAGCTACAAGAATAGCTGGATGCAAGGGTCAGCAGTTGTTCCCTCTTCTCCTTGTGGATGTGAGGCATTCAGCTCAGCCCAGGCCACAGGGCACTGACAACCCCAGAAAGAAGCAAAGAGCTTGTAAAATGCCTTTGCTTTTCTTCATGCAGGACAATACATGTAGATAAACAAACATTCCTTACAGAGGCTGGTGTTACACATCCATATTTTTAAACAATGTGTGAAAAACAAAAGGAAAACATTGTTAAGCAACTGGATAAAAAAAATGAAACTTATTTTCAATTTGTTGAAACCTGTTTCTTCATAATAGAATATTTCTCACATTCATTCAATTTAATGGTACAGAGCTAGCTAGGTCAGTCCAATTCCAACCTTAAATTTCTCAAAATTAGGAAAATAGACTGCATCTTCAAATAGAGACTTTGGGATTACCTCTTATATCTGTAATTCAAAAATAGAAATATCAGATCCCAACAATGTCAGACTTTGCTGATTAAAAATTGGTGCTCTCTTGAATTCCAAGTGTAGTAAATAATTATCTAGTGTATGTGTGCCAGCTATGGAACAGTTATACAGCTGTCTTCTTAAGGCTTGGCTTTTCCAGAAAGTGAAGGAAATGTAGGTGTATATAATCCCACTGAAGTTGGATTATATACACCTTAGCTTCCTTCACTGAAGCCTGGCACATTGTGAGCAGAGATGAAGGTCTCTGAGTTGGGGGATATTACAAGCTCTCGTAAGGCTGCTGGGAAAAGAGCACAAACATACTTGTTAAGAGAGAGGGTAGCCAGGGATAAACAAGATGTTGAATTACACTTTGCCAAATGAAGGGCTCAGGGCAGCCAAGGCAAATCTTTTTGTTTTCCTCTCCCTAAATGAGACCTTTATTTTTGGCTTTTTATTTGTGGCTAAAGACATTCACTTATCATAGTTGCCATCATTCTCTGAAATCTGTCTTTGGCTTTATTTGCTGGTCCAAGAAATATAATAGTATTGGCATTTTATCTATATTAACTAAACATAAGACCAGATTCCTCATGGTGTAAACAAGCACGACTTCGGGAAAGCAATGCCAATTCAGGCCACCTGAGTGTCTGATTCTTAATATAACAGGGACCATGCTACAAGAAAGTGAACAGAAGCAAACATTTGTTATAGAAACTCATGTCACCAACAAAGACTCCCCCCACAGCATTCAGGCAGGGAAAAAAATATAGCTAAGGTAGATTTACAGAAGCCACCACTTTCCTTTTAATGATTTGGATATTGATCATTTTTAATCTTCTTCTCAGAACAACCAGGAGATCTATTACAGCTTGAACCAGCCATGAAAAGCAGGTCCGTTCTTTAACCTGCCCCAATTCACTTGGACATATTTTATATCTCCAGGGATTCAGCCACGAAGTCCATTAGAGCATCAGATGCAGTGAGGTCAAATCAATTGTCCATACTGCAGACAAGGTAACCATCATTTACTGTAATTCTCCCCCGTCATGGTAGAGGAGAGGAAAGGTTAAAAGCTGTATTACCATGAGGCTGTCTCATCTATCTTTCAGTATATTGGTAATACCTAAACATTGCTTAAAGAACTGAATGTACAATCTTAAATCTGAGCTAAACTGGATTTAATGGTTAGATTGCCAAATCAACAAATTTGCTAATGATTTTTTTTCAGGTAGGAGCAGAAAAAAAAAAAGCACTTTTAAAACAAAATGCAAACCCCTTTAAATATATTATCACATCTGATGCAACACATCCAACGCTATAATGGAGCGTTCATCTCAGGATGCCCTGAATGACTGATATTTATCCTTCCTCATATGTAGATATATTTACCTATGAAGTAATTTGCTGTCATCCCTTTAAGCTGGAGATGCTATGGCAGACCAAAAACAAAAGAGGAAGTAAATTCAGGATGTATATTTTGCACTGTAAATCAAGTCCTTATGTGTTTGCACTGCAGGATGGGCAATAATAACTGACTGAAGCAATCACTGCTGTGGGAAAACAAACGTGCTGGCCATGTCGCATCTGAAGGTCAGGCCTGATGACACAGTAAGCACCTGAACTCTCACTGACTCCCGGGGAGCGGCGGGTGCCGAGCAGCTCCCGGAGCTCTCCTGACAGGGACAGATTTACGCGGCCGCTGGGGCTGGGATGAGGATGCTTCCCACTCCCACCTCCCGCTGCCGGCGCTGCGGGCTCGTTTATTTCCATTACGGTGCCATGGCAGCTCTGACTCCTGCGCTCCGTGTGGTAACTGCAAGAAAGCGGAGAGAAAAATGCGGTTCTGGGCCAGCCTGCGTGTTCCTCCTCCTTGGAACCAGTGCACCGTGGCCCTGACTAATGTCACAGCGGCTGCTGTGCACACTGGAGACCCTTGCTGACCCCTGTCCTACCTGTGACAGCTCAAGCACAGTGGCCAGGCCCTTGTAGGAATCCTCTTTTGAAGTGAGAAGTGACAATGAAGCTCAGATTTATTTACTTGCTGGTTTGCCTTTTCTAGGTTAATCTTTTCTCTTTCCCTGGATTTCTTTAATCCTGAGTTTTTTTTTTTTTAAGTAAGTGATTGAATGAAGGAGCTATTGAAATTTTCCATATTTCAGAAATCTCACAGCTGTAGAAATGAGTACATTTATTCGTGTTTCAGAGGCTGACTTGCTGAGCAAACATACCCAGGTATGGGAAATAGAGCCGAAGTAGTAAGAAGGTAGTTAAGCACTGTTATTCTGGTATAAGTACATCAAATGTATTTCTGTGGATGACATACATTAATGATATTCTTTGTGGTAGAAAATGTGATGAATGTAGTAGGAGTGTAAGAGTTGGTGTAGGCTGCAAATTATTAAATATTTTTACTATTAAGCCTATTTTTAAGTTCTTAGTAAGGTTTTAAAGCCCTGTACATGAAATTTTAACTTCAGATAATGTGAGTATTCAGTAACTGTAAAAAGAAACTAGCAAAAGTTTTGTGTGTGCTGAAGGAAAGATAAATATGCTTTAGATTATGTGTTACATACCATTCACTTAACTACTTTTCCTCTTCTGCGCCTTCTTTTTATGGTTTACCTTAACACAGAGTCTATGTGGGTCCTTTTCCTCAGTTTATGTTACACTATCACCTCTGAATTCATGCTTCTGAATGTCTCTTTCCAGATCCTCTGCTAATGCTCACAAAAGTGCAGATTGTAGTTGTCATTCAATAAAAGTAATGCCAGTCTTTAAAAAAATTAAGCATTAAATCAGGTAAGGTTTTGTTCATTTTAATATAAAAACTCAGAAATAAATAATGGGAATTTAAATTTAGGAAGAAATAAATTGATCCAAGTCTGGAAAGAAATGAAAGATTGGAAAGTTGCTTTAGTTTGTAATAGCTCAAAAGTAGGGACTCAAAAGTAGCAGCTTGCATGGTCTGTTGGGTTCCTTGCTCTGGAGCACTCTCAGATAACTCTCAGCTAAGCAGTCCCCTCTCTGCTGGCACATATTCTGCAATGCTAATTCAGAGAAGGGCCCACTGGGTTATTTAACTGAAACCAGAGTCTCAAAAAGATCAGACAAGCTTTGCTGTTCTTTGGCTTCAATGGATATCACAGACCTGACTGAAAGAGCACTGAACTTAACAGAAAGGTTTTGGATCTGGAAAAATGCTTACTGAAATCATTGAAAGAGCTTTAACTCCAGCAGTTAACACTTCATCCTGGCCCTTTTCTCAGTAGATACAAAAATGGGCTCCCAATGCCCAGTCATGTTTCTCAGATCAATATGACAAACTAAGGGATGTGTATTTACTATCTGCTCTGGTATCATCACATGTCAAATCAGACTTTGAAAAATAACTCTTTGATTTTATAATAATTCTACCCTGTGCAGCAAACAAGTTTATTTTGAAGGAAATCTTTTTAGGAAAATCACTAAGGATTACTCACTCCCTGAAAGTTATATATAGCTCTTAGTTGACAGACTTCCTTAGAGAACTCCTTTTTCTATGTCTACAGTAATTAAATTAAAAGTTGTCTTTTGAGTATTTGATGTTGGCATGTTGCATTTAGTTTAATTTTCTCCAAATGCTAAAGAGGTTGTGACAGTTATGGGGAAGTAGGTAGGTCTTGTGAACATGAGAGAGGGTCAGAGTCTCTGAATTTGCCATAAGTTAAAATAGTCAAGAGGCCTTTTTGGTTCACCTGGTCACTTTGTGGGGATGTAGGAATTGCCTGCTTGTTGCACCGGTAGTCACTGCCCTGAGGTGGAGCTGGTGGCATGACAGCTGTGGAGGTACACAGGACATCAGTGTGGGGCTTTGGGGATGAAATTCTCCTTCAGGTAACCCAAAAACATGGCTCTGATTACAAAAAACTGGTGACATTAGGCAGAACTGCTCTGGAAGCAAGCAGAAGAGGAGTGTGTTTGAGAGCCAGTGTCACCCTGGCTGCAGCCTGGTTATGGCACAGCACAACTGCTTCATGTCTCAGATGGAACAGGAAAGCTCTAACAGGAAGTTACCCAAGTAGCTCCTTCTGTTCAAATTGAAACAGTTATTCTTTAACAGCATCTTACTTCTGTAGAAAAATGTTTCCTACAGCGCTATAGGCTGCCAGAGAAAACTGTATACTGCCCTTTTTCCTCTCCTCTTTTCTTTAATAGGGTGAAAATTAGTAAGTGTAGATTGCCTGGCCTGGCGTTTCTTGGCATGTACAGATAAAGCAAAACTAACCTGAAGAGCTTTGGAGCTTCTCTTCACATAAGCATGCATTTTTCTGCCATGTGCTGAATCCCCTCCTACTCTTTTCAGTTTACAACATATGATTCTCTAATATGTCACTGTGAAGTCTCATTTATAACAGTTTATCCATTAGTATTTTCTGTCTGAACCTCTTGACTTCGGTCCTCTCTGATGTCCAGACTGGGTGAATCACAGAGAAAAGCTGGAGCCCTCATGCTTCTATGAGGCTATTTAAACCTTCTGGGCCTGGAATTAGAGATAAAAAAATATGAAAAATTAAAATTGGATATATAATTTTAATTTCTGCAGATTTCCCAATGTTCACAACTTTAAAAAGGCCCTGATATTTGTGACCAGATGGAAAACAACCATCTTAAAACAGAACACACATGCAAAACAAGCCAAAGAGATTAATTAAACCTTTTGGTATTTGCTTTGGATTTGGATTTTGAGCTGAAACTTGTTGTAAAAGTTTTTCAAAAGCTGAAGGAGAGGTACAGCAACCAGTGAGGGGAGTTCTTGCTTTACACAGATCCATCTGCCTCGCCTACAGATCTGTTATTAACTGCCTTAAATGACCATATTTGTCCAAACCAGCAAAATTATGTGAACATGTATTGCAATGAAACATTGCCCTGAAAGACCTCCTGTTTTCTTACAAGTTCATTTTGAACCAATTTTCCAGATCAATTCAAGGACAAAATTTACCAAGATTTTGAGAAACAAAAGCACTGGAAATGTTTCCATCAATTAAAAGAAAAAAAACCTATACAATATTGTCTCCAATGTCCTGATTTCCAGCCCTGAGTTCAGTGTTACTGCTAGCTGAGTGGAAATCTCAGTGAAAAGTTGGCTTTTAGAAAAGAGAATTCAACTAATTTATTTTCATAACTGAAGCTGAGGAAAATTCAAACTATGTGACAAGGAAAAAGTTATATTATTGGAACAGGAAACATTTTTGTAAAAAAAAAAAAAAAAAAAAAAAAGTAAAACAGGAAAACCCAAGGAAATTAGATGTGTTTTAACTATATTTTTTAACCATGCAAGATATCCCTTTCAGCACAGCATGGGATGTAGCATTAATCTTATTTGTCTGTGATTTAAAAAACTATTTCCTCATAGTCAGGACTTTGTTACATTACCTCATTTTTACCCACAGAAGCCAAACTACTGATTCTTTGGAGACTGTAAGCCATAAATTTTTTTCTATGACTATTAGTTCATTACTAATCTTGACCGTGTGTCCAATGAACTAATGAAGAATTTTAATATTGAAAAGCACCTCATAAATAATTTGCAATAAGCCAGAAGAAATATTGAGCATTTGTAAATATGACTTCTCTTTGCAGGATTTGTCTCTCTTTTAGTTTTTCTTCCTGAATGTTTGCTACAATTATCTTTAAATCTCCATGAAAGAAACCAAAGAAATGGCAAATCAGATTTGTAGTAATATTAGTCATCTCACTAATGTATATGCTCTAGCTTGCCTTTTTTTCCACTTCCTCTTACCTGGTCCTTTCATAACTCAGACAGCCAGACTCTTAAATACCTTTTGATTGGAGCCAGTGGGTCTTACAAATGTAATTTATACAGGAGTTGATGATTTAAATGGAAAAAACCCAAAGTCTTGTGCTTTTAGAAAATGTAAATCTGTCTGGATCTCATTAAGGAAGGTTCTTGACTACAGGAGAAACTCTTCTCCTTTTTATTCTTAATTTTTTTTTTTGAAAGACATAATTTTATTCATGGGTTTCAGATCTTCTTTAAAAAAAAAAAAACAAACCCAAACAACAACCAAACTTTGGAATAATGGTTTTGTCTGTTGGTTTTTGTCCAGCAGCCTCAGCCAAAACCTTGCCAGAGGTGACATGCAGGGAGATGCCATGATGACCTCTCTGTCAACACAGAGCCACAGTGCAAACAGTGCATAACACAGGAATTCCAGGGACCAATGCATTTATCTTAACCCTGACTCTGAGAAACTTCTACAAATGTTAAAAAAAACCTAAACCCAAGCTCCAATAGTTAAAAGGGGAGCTAGGTATAAATCCTTGTTACTTTCCTGGTACTGTATGGCAATTAAAACGTGCTAACTTTGCCTCGGCCATAATATCTCAAATCCTAGGAGAATGAAGGGATAAAGCAGCTTGCCTCCATCTGTGAGCAGCTGGGGCTGGCTGATGGCAAACAGCTCACGTGTTAATTTGTGAGTAAAGCCCTCCTGATGCAGGTTGACAAGTTGTTTATTAGTGGGGTTGTAACTTGAGGAGAGATAAGGGTTTCCTGAACTACTCCCACCATAAATTTCTGAAGTTATTCTATGAAGGTCCTAAATGCAAACTTGTACTGGTGGCTAAATTTCATTTTTCCAAAAGGAAGTGCCAGTCTCTCTGTGAGGGAGAGGCTTACTTAATTTTATAATTTTGTGAACTCCACCAGTGTCTACTCCTTTTCTTTCAAATTTGGGATAAGGACATCAGATAATATGGTTTTCTTTTTGTTTTATCCTGCTCTGTCTTGCAAAGATTATGCTGGTGTTCTTGAGTGCTCCTATTGATATTTCTGATCTCTCAAGACAGAGACTGCATCAGATAGTAGTGAACATACCTGACACCTCCTTCTGACACCTGGAAGGAGACAGATTTTCTTTTAAGGAATTAAAAGTACTGGGGAACTTCTTTAACCTGAAGGTTCTGAATAGATTCAAGCCAGATTATACTTGCTTCCACTTCTTGCTATGTTCAGTGTATTATAACTGTATGAGAAATGTTCAAAAAGAATGCCTAGTTCACTTACAATAACTTCAAACTTAACTCACCAGTTCTGATTCACATACCTGCTGGCTTGGAAATAAAAAATGAGCAATGTCTTATTTTTAAGCCAAGTATGGAAATTAGATATGGTTTCTGCCTTGTTTCTGCTTCTAGTTTTCTTGAGTGTGTGTGGGAGAGGATGAGAACAAGACAAAGACATCTACAAAGAGAAGAGGGATATTTCCTTGAGACCTAAACAGAAATAATTTACTCCTAGTGTGTATTTTTAGGTGGCTTTGTTGATGCCATATTTACTGCACACAAATCTGGAGGCATCCCACTTGTTGCTTGTGATCAGAAGTTTAATGAAAAAAGCAGGACTTTATTTTCCCCCCAGAGGATCCCTGCTGATATCCCTGCTGTGCCCAGCCCTTGGCCTTGCAGCACTGTGCTTGTATCCTGCTGGAATCTTTCTCTGGGGGTAACTGGGAGACAGTGAGAGAGTGGGGAACTTGGATGAGCCTTGAAATTAAGCTGTGCCTCCTCTCTTCCTTTTTACTCACTTGATCACATCAGCTTCTGGTTTTAAAACGATGACACATTTTAAGGCAGTATTTAAACCCCTGAAGTAAATTTTCTATATATTTCTATTTAGTACTGTGTTTAAAGAGATAAAAAAATCATGAAAATCATACTGACAGAAGACTTCCTCTATCTCCATCTCTTATTTGCTCTTATTTTCATCTTAAGCACCTGAATTACTGGAGGACAATACATTAATCAGACACGTCACAAGCCAGAATTCTATGCAGCTTGATCACTTTTGGGGTAAAATTCAGCTAGACTGCCTAAAAATGCTTATTGGTCTCTACGGATTTGTCTGTGATTGCTGAATTTATTTAATACAAAGTGTAATATAAAAAGCCCTTTCTGCAGTTAATTAGCCTCCAGGTTATTGCAGGCCCCAAGGTATGGTATTTGAGTTGTCATTGCTACTTGCAAAGATCAGCAGTACTTAATTCTTGTGTTACACAAAGTAGATTCCCTATGCTTATCTGGCTAGTATTAATTCATTGTTTCCAGACTCTATTTTTCATTTTCTTCTTGGCTGTTAAAGATGGTGCTAGAGATGAGGAACTTTGCTGAAAGCAGATGTATTACACTGAGACAGTACCAGTTTAAATTATGGCAGAATTTAACTTGAAGGAGGTTCTTCCAGAACTATGTTATTGTAACTGAGAGCAAGACTTGTTCCTGTTACATGATAAAAATAAAACAAATAGAGTTCATTCAGACTCCTTTGGGATATGGTAGATGTAATATTATTAATTATTCCTGTTTTCTAAGGAGAAAACATCAGGTTTCCTCCACTTGGTAATTCTGTTTTCTCAGAAAACATTTACATATGTTCCAATACCCAGCTAGCCCTGGCAGGAACTCTTTAGTGGTTAGAGAAGTGGCAGAAGGTTAAATCATCTGACTTTGATGTGATGTTGATTGTTTACCCTTAGTGTACAGAAATATATTAAAAAAACCAAAGCAAAGTGTGTGTATTCATTACTGGCCAAACACAGCTGACAAGTTAAGGAATATGTGACGCCCCTCAGCTGAGACCAAAGTGCTTCATTTTAATGGAGATTACCGTAAGAACCAAATGAAGTTGTCTGAGGGAAAATGATGTCTCCTGAGCCTTTCTTCTGGTTTGGCCACAAGTTAATAACACAACCAGCACTTAACAACAAAATGCAGGACTGTATTATCTTTTAGCAAATGCCAGTCAGGGCAATCCAAACAGGTCAATTACTAGCAAATCTCCAAAGATCTCCTGAAACCTCAGAAGAGTTAGTGATGCCAAGAAAATGTCTAGATGCACAGAGACACAGGAACAGAAATAGGGCACAAACCAATTTGCAGAAATGGAATTTAACCCTTAGAGGGAAGAACCCAGCCTGCTACATATTCATTTCCACTTCATTAAATATTTATGGCGAGACATGCATGTAATGTGATTCTGCATTATGGAAAAAGCACAAACAGAATCTGCGCTGTTTCAGTGGTTTAACCTATTTTTTCAGTCTTTCTGTATCTTGCAGGTATAATGGGCAAATGTGGGGTTTTCTGCCACTGGCATGTTAGACATTTGGAAATGAATGTGTTCTCTTGAATAATCCTAAATCAGCACACACAAAACAGCATGTAGAGGCCAGTGACAGCCTATTCTTCAGCTCAATAGCATGTCTATGACTTATTAATATTAATGAAACCTGCACACAAGCATGTGGGGATAATTGACCCCATTAAATTCCATTTACTCATGAGCTACTTTGTAAGGTTTGCTTCTTAGTTATTGTAGTTTTTATCAAGGATAAAAGTTGGAATAGCATTTATGCCAACAAAAGACTATTTCAGAAGTAGCTTTGTGGGGGGAAAAAAAAAACGGAAAAAAAAGGAAGGGAAAAAAGTCTCAAGAAAAATGAAGTACCACAATGTTTT